GTTTGATACCAAACTTATTGAATAAATTCATGAAATAGCAGTTCAATAAAATTTTGAATGGAAGTCAACAAAAGAGATGACAAGGCCTTTCACCCGTGACCAATCTCAAAAGGGTTAAATGTAATAAAGCACATACAAATACAAAGCTAAATTATGTGATGATACTTTACAATACATTGTGAAAGGGTAATAACAAAATCTCTTAATACTCTGAAAGTAAAAGAAAAAAAAATCAAACAGTGAAACAATCATAGATAATTGCTATTAAATCATCATAGTTTATAATTTGGTTAAACGGTTCCATGTTGAGATAATTCTTTCATATTATTGTTAATTCATGAGACACTGGTGTAAGAAAAAGTATCTGCCTTTCATAACAGAACAAGTTTTCTGTATATTAATTAAGTGTATATTTATGTGCAAAATTATGTTATTATGTGTAAATACACAGTATGCATATGCACTAGGCCCAGGTTTGTTTTCATAATTGGTGAGTGGGGTACTACTTATTTCTCTTAATGCAATATTTATATTAAACACAGTAAGGTATATTTTGCCATTTTAAAGTTTTCTCAAGTTTATAGTTAAATTTTTTTTAACTTAAAGTAAGTCAACATATGAAACTTTTTCTATTAATGTGCCTCAGCACAAAGAAGAAATATTTTAAGTTTTTGAAGCTATACTAATTTGCTTTTGTTTGTCTGACTACTTGAAAATTAAAACTACAGTCTTTCATAATCATAAATCTTCCAATCGTAGGCTTAAACAAGTTTTGAATATTAACAATACACACTAAAGTATAAGTTTAACCATTTCTGACTGTATGTTTACAGGTCTAGGTCAAATTATTTTTTTTCCCATAGCCCTACCAATTAATTAATAAAATATCCAACTCAAAATATTTTTTTGTTCTTGGTTGCAGGTTCCAATTTAATTTTTGTTAGATATTCAAGTCAGACTGCCTGATTCTGGTAGTAGTCAAAACTGAAAATATATGAATAAGTTGTATAGAGTCAATAGGACTGTTTGAATTATCTTATGATACATGCAACAAGTGTTTATTAAACATAATTAAGTATGTGAAAGACAGCTCTGAAGCCTATTCTTGGAAATCAAAAATCTTAATTCTGTTAAGCAGCCTTCTCTGCATCCCTTCTAGAATGCCAAAAAGTATTCATGTTACAGAGACCATATTCAAGTACTGTATTAAAAAAAAAGGGACACCAAACCAAAAACACTTGATATTCTTGAATCAAAAATTTCTATAAATAAATTCTAAAACTCAATTAGTTATTTCTACCACATTTACACATTCAGTTGATATTACATTCAAATCCTTCTCATTTTCTAACATCAACACTCTCCTAACACGTGAAATCAATTCTAATTTTTCATTTTCTGTGGGCTCATTGTACTCCTAAACTGTGAAACTCATTTCTTACATTCTTGCTCAGACACTAAGACTGTTTAGTTCATTTTAAACAAGTCCTGAACTTAGAAATATTATAGTCCATATTGTAATATTCACATAAATAGTAAACAACAAAGGTTCCAAAACAAACACCTGTTATGATGTAAAGCAAACTGTTGTCAAGGCAACATATTGTCTGCTTACAGTTTTAATTCATCTTTTCTTTTTTACATGCTGTCAGTTGGAATTGGGCAGACATATATATATATATATATATATATATGTGTGTTTCTGAATTATGTTATATGGACCACACAGTTTATTGCAAGTGGCTTTGGTTTTCAAATTAATTGATTAGTTAGAATTTATTAATGGCTTTGAAGTTTTGTTTGTATGTTTTCAAAAAGAAAATGCTTCTGAAAAGATATTGAATAATTCATACAGACTCATATTGGCCAAGCACCCACTCGCCGACACCATTTTTGGTCACCACTAAATGCCAGAGGAACATTTAGCAATCATGATGATCTTATCATCAATTTACAACTACTAGGAGTACAGTTGCCTTGAAATAAACAGTGCAAGCTCAGGATTTAATAGTACTGTAGACATTTTTCATTTGTTGTTTGGTGTATACAATAATTTAGAATTTGAATTAATGGAAATTTATACATTCTCAACTGCAATTTTGCACTCTGACACTACCATGGCCAAGAATTATAATTCTTTGTGACTTCCTATATAAAGGTACATTTATTACATACTTTTATTTTAGAGAATCAAACTTCCCTCTCTTGTTTCACTAACTTAAATGTAATTAAACAATTCATTTTTTGATTTGTAACTTCAATATTTCCCATATCTGAAATATTATCCTTATTCACACAATATCACCATGTTATGGCCTATAAACTGATTTAATTATTGACTTTCCCTATTTGACTTGCAAATATTTTCCTATTCTGTGCATTAGATTTATATTGTTATTACAACATTTGATCTTTGTAACAAAATACTTCATCTTATCATACTGGTTGTTAGCTTTATTTATGAATCTCTCTACAAATACGAATTCGATGACAAATACAATTTAAAGTGCTATATTCTGTAATGCAACTTGCAAGTTTTTCTCTGTTCATTACCTGTAGATAAATATCAATAGCAACAATATTTCATTAAGAAAAACTTTATGGTGCATAAGCATTTTAAGTCGCATTTCACAAAAATATTTATAAAACTATTTAAAACATAATTCAAGGTCTACAAACGTACAATTAATGAATTATGTTTATTACAGCAATAATGATTGTAATTATTTCTTTAAACTTTAACTTAAGTTCTTATTAAAGATATATTATAGACCATGTACTGATGTAGATATAAATGATATCAAAATTTAAATACATAAGAAAAAAAAACAAAAAACGCACAATGGCGAAACAAATTAACTTTATCAATGGCAATATCTTCCGATGCCATCACCGCATCAGTAATGGAGCACAAGTCGACTCGTGACGCTTCGTCTTCTACGAATTTGAAGAACTTTTTATTTTCTGATACAACTGTGGATGTTTCACAGCCTTGTTATTAAAAAGTATCCAAATCATAGTGCTTATTTAAAAGTAAAAACTGAATATAATAAAGAGGTTGAAACTTACCTCAGCATCAGAATCGCCTACCACGTTGTCTTCTACTAGGTGCACAGCCATTTTTACTATTGTGCCCTCTGTCGTTAAAATATTTCTGCCTTAAAAATAAGAAAATAAAAAAAAAAGACAACCATCAAGGAACGAATGTTTGATTAGTTGGTTGTTTAGCACAAAGCTGGCCCGGCATGGCCAGGTGGTTAGGGTACTCGACTCGCAATCTGCGGGTCGCGGGTTTGAATCCCCGTCACACCAAACATGCTCGTCCTTTCAGCCGTGGGGTCGTTATAATGTGATGGTCAATCCCACTATTCGTTGGTAAAAGAGTAGCCCAAGAGTTGGCGGTGGGTGGTGATGACTGGTTGCCTTCCCTCTAGTCTTACGCTGCTAAATTAGGGACGGCTAGCGCAGATATCCCTCGTGTAGCTTTGCGCGAAATACAAAACAAGCACAAAGCTACACAATACGCTGCCCACGACTGGTTTCGAAACATAGTTTTTAGCGTTGTAATTTCGCAAACTTATCACTGAGCCACTGGGGTGCAAACTAGCTTTGTTCCCTATCACAAACTGCTGATTAAAACACAATTTTTGTAGACATATCGGCCTAATAAAGTAATGATTATTTTCTGCAGAGATAGTAAAGTCCGTTGGCTATTAAACATATTTTTATGAATAATGCTTTCATCATATTTTGTGTTTGTGGAGCACGACTGAGGGCTTGGTGTGGTGATGTAGTTAGCGTGCCCAAACTATGAATCCAAGGGTTCATAATTCGTGTTCTTTTGACATAAAAAACAAAACACACACACACACAAAAAAACGAAATTTGTAAGTGTGTCCGTCGTGACCTAATAAGACTAAAACAGAGACGGTGAAATCTCATAATTATTTCAAGAGTTGACGGCGGATGCCTTTCCTCTAGTCTATCAGTTCAACCAATATCTTCATGTATGCTCATTATAACTTATCAGTGGAAGTATTTTTGACCCTTGTTAAATTAATTCAAAACCATATGTCGAATCAGTCTACCATTCTGAAGAAGAATGGATCGCTGATGCCTTAATTTGATTTACAATGAAGATGTAATATATATATTTTAAAACATAAGTAGAGTCAGAATTTTAGTAGTTAATTAGAGCAAAATTCCATCAGTGCTTCACAGCTTGAGTTTTATGTCATTGTTATTGGTTTCATGATCTAGTACAGAACAGAAAGCAGTGTATTTCAATACTGCCCATACAGTTAAGCTAATTCAAGCTATTCAACTACACTTCACTGTAATCACTTTTTTCAGTTATTTAATTTCATCACTGCTTCTATAGTGTTCTCCTAAACTTCCTTTTCAAAGTATCAGGACAGTTTCGATTCTCCACAGTTTAACAAGTTTAGTTTGAAGGATTTTTCGCAGGAATACCGTAAGTTAATTTTAACTATTCCAATGATGCTATAATTTGAATCTACTCTTCAGAGATATATTTATCAAAAGCCAGGGACGTCGCTAGCTATCGAAAAGATTTGGGACTTAGGACCCAAAAAGCACTTACTACTTAAAATAATTTAAACGTAATAGCAATGTAATATTTTACAATTTACATAAGATAAGTTCATGGCAGTGTGAAACACATCCAAGCTAAACGTATTTTTGTCAAAGTAATGTTTTGTTACGACAGCGCGGGTCACGTGACTCTAGTAACACGTCATATTCTCGAAGGTTCCTGAAGCCTCAAGTGTTTACTAGATGTACGGTATTATTGTATATAAGACGGCCAAGAAGTGACGGCAACAATGTAATTGAACTGCAGACAGAGAGAAACTGATAATTGAGTTGTGAATTATAGCGTTTGTTATAGCGTGACTGTGGAAATTAAGTGTATTGCAAAGTTGTATTGAGAAAGAATAAACTAGTTTTATTTAAGAAAGGACTTGTGTGGCTAAAGTTTCGTCGGAACGAATTTACGGAAAATTAACTAACGAACGGAGACGTAACAAAATTGGTGTCAGAGAGTGGGACAGAAAAGAAAAAATGGAAACGAGCTTAGCAGATTTGATGGCAGCAATACAAGAACAACAAAAGAAACAAGAAGAACGAGAAAAGAAACAAGAAGAAAGATTACAGAAGTGGCAAGGAAACCTACAACAATGGCAGCTCGAACAGCAAAATAAACAAGAGAGAATACAGCAGTGGTTGGAGGAGATAGAAAATAAACAAGAAGAGAAATCACAGCAGTTGTTAGAGGAGAAAGAAAATAAACAAGAAGAGAAGTTACAGCAGTGGTTGGAGGAAAAAGAAAAGAAACAAGAAGAAAGACTACAGCAGTGGCAACTGGAAC